TATTACTGATCCCCATCGCAACACTCAAAGCCTGGCATTCCAGGACACAGGCAATAAAGTATAATAGGGGCAAGAAAAAATGGGCAAATCATCTTGTACAGACTCCAGTTTCCAGGGTGAATTTAAATTTTCCTCCAAGGACCTGATTTTTTTTTTTATAGCTAGATGATAATGATTCAATTATATATTATGTGGGAGAAATATTATAGAATCCAAACTCAAAAAATTGGGCTTCCGGGAGCCTGGAGTGCATATGTCTCATCCCTTTAGAGATTTGGAAGATGGAAAGATTATCAACCTCTTGATTTTTCAGCCACCTGGAATCTGGGTTTTCTGGAGGAGGTGGAAGTGGAGATTGGATTAGGGAGAAAGCAGGTTTTAGGCAGGGACTATAATAATCCCTAACCCCAGCTCTGTCTGTATGCCTTTCTTTGATCTTGCAACACTGGCGAGGGAAGTGTTATTGTCCCCATTTTACAGATGAGGAACCGCAGACCCAAATGAGTTGCTAATGTCACTCAATACCTTCCAACCCGAATCACACTGAATCCGCCTGTGGGAAAATTGGAGAATAAGAGGAACTGGGATGGGGCTGGGTTGAGGAGGGAAGGGGCTTCAAGAGAGAGGGAAGAAGAAGCAGAGCCAAGACTGGGCGCTTGGCAGAAAGACAGCCTTCCTGTTTGGGGGTTTTCATTGTTGGGGTCTTGAGGGGGAGGTTGTTGTGTTTTTGTGATGCTGGGGATTGAACTCAGGGCCTTAATTATGTGAGGCAAGTGCTCTACCACTGAGCTGCATTCCTGCCCCATACCCTTTTTAAAACTTTCTCTAGTGCAGCTTGTTGGAAATGTGTTTGGGATCCACCCAGCCTCAACCACAATGGGTTTATATTGTCAATGTCTCTCTTATGGGCACATTTAACTCTAGGACCTCCAAAGGAGAATAAAGAAACTGAAGGCTCGTACCCTACCAGTTAAGCACATCTATAGAAAAAAGAAAGAGAGGCCACAGGGTGGTGAGGGTGAGGGTTTGTGTCCCCCTTGTGTGTGGTGTTGCCGGCAGAGCGATGGGTGACTGTGAACCATGTGTGTCTTTTCGTGAGCGTGGGAGACTAAGTGGTTCCTGAGCTGGTGAGAGGTTGGATGTGTGCACCTTCATAGTCACTATGGAAGCTTGTTTGCGGGATTACAGATGCCTGGCTACGTATAGGTAAATCCACTATAGGAACAGACACTCTGGGACATAGCACTTTTTTTTTTTTCTTCCTGAGGTGCTGAGGATTGAATCCAGGTCCTCCTGCATGCTAGGCAAGCACTCTACCACTGAGCGACACCCCCAACCTGACCTTTCTTTTCTTTATACCAGATAGCACCTTCTTTCTCAGTGGGAGACCTGGTAGAACTGGGAGACTTTCTTGCAGAGGCTCAGAAGAGCCTCACCAGCTACCAGTTAGGAAAATTCCCCTGTTGTATTATCTTGCCTCTGCCTGTGTCCTAGAATTTTCAGTTTTATTTCTCAGATCTAACCTGGCACAAGGGCACATACCTATAATTCCAGTGATCTGGGAGGCTGAGGCAGGAGAATCGCAAGTTCAACACCAGCCTGAGCAACTTAGGGAGACACTGTCTTAAAATAAAAATAGCAAGGGCTGGGGATGTGGCTCAGTGGTAGAGTGCTTGCTAGGGTTCAAACCCTAGCACTTTCTCTCCCCTGGAAAAACCCCAGGTGTTTCAGATCTCACTACATCCACCTAACCTACTGAAAACGAAATTCTAAGCCAGTTTCTTGATCTGTTTTTCCCCCCCTCAACCCTTCATCCAAAATGCTCTCTTATTGGAATTCTCAGTCCAAGCAGTTAAAGACAACTTTCTCTAAGAAATTTGACTCAAATTTTACATGATCACCCACACACACCCTCCCCCAGGGGCACAATTTTTTCCCAGTTCCAGGCATCAAAAGGGTCTTGCTGACAGGTCCTTGGAGTCATGAGAATCATCATAATCAGGAAGCCTAGGGAAGAGAAAACCGAAGGAGAAAATGACTGAACCAAGGACCATGCTCAGGTGCCGTCATTTACCAGCTATGCACATCTCTGAGTCTTGGTTCAGATAATGGGCCTGGCACAGGGGTGCATGCCTGTAATCCCAGCAACTCAGGAGGCCAGGAGGCTGAGGCAGGAGGGTTGCAAGTTCAAGGTGAGCCTGAGCAAATTATCAAGACCTTGTCTCAAAATAAGAAAGAGATAAAAAGGGCTGGGGATGTAGCTCAGAGGTAGAGCGGCCCTGGGTTCAATCTGCAATGCTGAAAAAAAATTTAGATAATGGAGATAAGAATGATACCCTTGAGCTTTTTTTGGTATGTGTGCTAGGGCTCAAACCCAGGAACTCACCCAATCTAAGCCAGCAGTCTACACTGAGGGACACCCTCTGTGCTCCCTTAAGGTTGTTGTTATATGCAGCACATGAAGAATTCTGTATAATTAACCCCATAATATGTACTGACTCTCATGGGTAAAGGGTAATCCTTAGATTGCAGAAAAGTCAAAGGCTTCTGTTTGGCAAGACTACTTGGTAGGATGCGATTGATTTCACAATGCAAAAAGAACACGCTCTCTGGCATGTTTATGACCAAGGATCTTAAAAGTGAGGACCGTCCTCCTTTTCCAGCTTTCGGAGTCAGAGAGGGACTCCTGGACACCTGGGTGGGAAGTGTTGGAACCCTAAAGAGAGGAGGCAGAGCCCCTGGGAATCCTGTTATTGGGAAGAGACTGTGTCTACATGCAGAATGGCCACTGGCCGGGCTCCTTCTTCTCAATGTATCTTACACTTATTTGTCAAAGCACTGATGATCGGTACATCAATTTATGTGGGTTGATAAATTATGGCATGTGTCAATTCTAAGTTCATATCATTAAAAATCTAGATTCCAGAGTTACTAAATACGCTTTTTTTTTTTTAAAGAGAGAGAGAGAGAGAATTTTTTTAGTATTTATTTTTTAGATTTCGGCGGACACAACATCTTTGTTTGTATGTGGTGCTGAGGCTCGAACCTGGGCCGCACGCATGCCAGGCGAGCGCGCTACAGCTTGAGCCACATCCCCAGCCCACTAAATACGCTTTCTAAAATTAAAATACTAGTTAGGTAGTAGGTAAAATTAATAAACTAAAGAGAGACCTGCCTATTGGGGTGCAAACTTTATGCTTCATCAACAAAGTTGTCTTGGGCTGGGAAAGTGGCTCAGTGGCAGAGAGAGTGCATGTATGAAGCTCTGGGTCCCATCATCCCTTTATTCCAAAAAGAAAGAAAAGAAAAGGAAGAGGAGGAGAAAGAAGAAAGAAAAGAGGAAGAAGAAGGAGGAGGAGGAGGAGGAGGAGAAATAGAGATCATATTGATTTTCTCTCCCCTTGCCTCCCAGACCAATACCCTCTCAACATGACTCCCAGGGTTTGGGACCCACCAGAGAAGCCTAGGTCCCTCTGTGCTCTTCTACATCTGGAAGTCCTTTTTGAAGTCTGCACTGCCGAGTTTTTGGAGTTAGAACTCTGGTATTTACTTTCTCACCTCCCTTTCACCCCAGTGATCTGGGGACAGACTGACCTTCCTCCCTGGGAACAGACTGGCCTTCCTACCTCCCTTCTTTGCTATCTGGACCTCAGAGATTGGGGTCTTGTCCTGAGGCCAACCTCCCTAGGAGAAAAGAGAATTTAGGTTAATGCTTTAAAATCACTGGAGGGAAAGGAGGAGCCCAAACTATAAAAACATTCTTAGGCTTTTGAGGAGAGGGAAGAGCATGGTTATGGGAAGCTAAGAGAGGTGAGAGGAAAGGGGAACCCCTCCTTGCCACCCAGGCTCTGCCAGGGCTAGAGGACACCCCCCCTCCTACTGCCCTAATCCCCCCATTAAGGCAGCTCTGAGTTTGTTATGACAGCGGCTGAAGGCAGCTGAATTGCTGTTTGCTGTGTCTGCTAATTGGACTGAAGGGTTGGAGTCTGGACACTGAAAGGGACCATTGTTGCTGTTTACCTTCCACAGCCGCCTCCCTGGGGACCCTCTGGGTGAAGGGGAGCAGCATGCCCTCAGGTCATTGCACCCATCCCTGTTGGCACCGAGGGACTGTGATGGAGAGACAGTTCATCTCTTCACCTTGGGGCGGTTGAGCTTCCACAGAAGGGAAGGGACAAGCTCAACACCTACGTGGCTCCTTAGGCCAAGCTGGGACCATCCACGAGCCCTTGGGGACAGGAATTATGTGCTTGTGCCTTTCTCTTCCTTATTCATTCCCTTTTTCGGGGGGGGGTGTGTGTGTCTCTTCCTCCAGCTGACCAGGCTTAACCCCTGTACCTTTTATTATCTGCCTCCTTCTACACCAGTGAGTTCTCAATTGGTTATGCACCTAAGTCACCTCCGGGAGGTATATATATAATATATATAATATGTATCTGGTATCTGGGAATCAGAGTATCTGGGAATGAGACCTAGGCACCAGTATTATTTAATGTGCAACTTTGTGTTAAGAATCTCTGATACAGGCTCATCTCTCTACCTGGGAGACACACACACACACACACACACACACACACACACACAGATCTTGCCCTGCCATTCCTCTCAAGCTCTTGATATCTAAAATGCTATCAGGAGGTCGTATCTCTTTCTCATCTTTGTTACTCAATTTCTCGTAGGAGCCTTAGAGTTTAGGATGGAATTTAGAGGTCTGTATTCTGTTTTCCACATCAACCTGAACTCTGTCCCAAGGGCAAATACACTGTCTCCATCTCCCTGTGGATTTCCCCAAAGCATCCAGAGAAGGGCTGATCTAATCTGGGGCGCTTAAATCATCAGGGATGAAGGGGTGGGAGGCTCAGATATTTATTGACTCTTGTGCTCTTGTTCCCTCAAAGCAGCATTGGTGATGTGGAGGTCTCCAGAGAGGGGACTTTCTTCAGGATTCCATTTCCCATTTCCTGACTGTATCCAAATATTTCTGCTTTTCTTCCCTTTAGCTCCTCACCTGGGGCGGGTGGGTGCTCCACCACCCTCCCGCCCTCTTTTCTCCCTGTGGACCACAGAACCGCATCCAGCACCACGGACAGCTCCCGGATGGTGAGTGAGACTCTGCAGACCTGCTTTGGGAGGGTGGGGAGGGGCCCCCTTATATCAGATTTTTGTATCTGAGGGGCTTGTTGGCAGTCATATGTGGAGTCTCAGGGAGAGGCAAAGGCTGAGGGCAGTTGGCTTTCCAGTCTCCAGGACCCTGGGTTTGTCCTCATGGGAGGAGTCTCAATGTCGTTGTAGGAAAGATAAAGGTCAGATTTCAGGAAGAATTCAACTAACATCATGTAAGACGAGGTAACGCCAAAATGGGCCTTAGTTCTCCCCAGCACTGTGGCATTTCACAGATCCCAGGGGAGTGGAAGAGGTGTGGTCACAGGTCACCCAGCCCCCTGCCTTCAGCCTGGCCCTTCTACATATGTGGTAGACATCTTCTCTAGGAGTCCCCAGCTTGGCTTGGGCAGAGCAGGACTAATGCTGGTAGGGGGAGTTCACAGGTTGCTCCCACACTAGGACAGGATCCATGCTCGGGCTTGTGAGGTATTTGCAGGAGCCAGGACGAGGTGGCCTGCCGTCCCTGTCTGAGGAGACCTGGAGGGCAGGCCTCGGGGAGCAGGACAGAGGAAGGCATACCTTGCAGTAGCTGGCAAGCCATGAGAGAAAAGGCAAGAGGCCACCATCTGCCAGGGCACAGGGGCCAGTGGATGACCACAAGGAGTCTCCAGAGGCCAGCAGGAGTCATGCAAACTGGAACGGGGCCTGGGAAAGGCCCTTCTGTGTGCCCATGCCTGCTCCCCCAACACCGTGAGCCTAGAAACAAAGGGGCCATTCTCTCAGATTTGATGCCGCCATCTCCGGCTGGCAGTGCCAGGTGGCGGGGGCATCAGGGGGTGTCAATCCATTATCCACCCCCCAACTCCTAAGTCCTCTGGGGCTGGATGTTGGGGAGGTGGGTGTTCTATGCTATGTTGCCATGGCAACCCCCGACTCCCCATCCCCCCCCCAAGCACAAAGAGAGACAGATTTCACCCCCACCTCCAGGAAGAACCTGGGTCTGGCTGGGAATCTTCCCTTGGGAACCCTCCTCTCTGATGCACAAGCCATGGCATGCATAAGCATCACCCTCTTTTTAGCCCTGGGAGCTGAAGTTTCTGGCATCAGTAGGCCATAGGGGCGGGGAGGCTGGTGCACTCAGGGTCTGGGCAAGGTGGTGCAAGGGGGCACCCATCCCTGTGCTTAACCCCCTCTCTCCCCAAACTCCTCTGCCCTTCACCTCTAGCCAGGACCACCCTGGGCCTTCTCAGCTGAAGCCACAGAGCCGCGACCTTCTCCTCTTTCCCAGGAGCGAGGAATACCCTGCTGCTCCCCGCAAACCCCCCGGGCTGTGGGAATGGAGGAAGATGAGGGGGCCATTCCTGACACCCTCCATCTGCACCCTCCGCCATTACTCATTAGGCATTCTGCCCCCTCCTTCCGCTCGTTAAGCCTGATTTGCATACATTTGCATAATACAGTTCATTTGCATTCCAGGAGGCTCATGGTAGAAGCCAGGGGAAAAAAAGGGGGGGGGGGGGGGGAGAAGAGAGAAAAGGGGAGAGGTTTTGTTTTCATCAAAGTGTGGGGGGAGGGGCCGGGAGGTGGCAGGAAGAGGACAGAAATAAAAACTCACACTACTTTCTTTCTTCCCTGCCCTCCCTCTCTGCGCTGGGCTCCAGTGCCAAAGAGGGAAGCCAGAGGGACCGCTTTTCTGTCCTTTTTTGTCTTGCTTCCTCCGGCCTTGGCTCCCCAGCCTGGCCCCCCACCTTGTTGGGTTCAGGCTTCAGAAAGAAAGAGGCCGGGGTAGGAGGCAAGGCTGTGGGAACGGAAGCAGAGGGAGGCAGGGGGCCGCCATCTTAGGTAGCTGGTGCCCGTAAAATGGCCGCCTCTGACAGGTGTGGGCTGAGAGCCAGCCCTGGCCGGTGGACACCAGGGAGACCGGGACCCTCGGAAGGACTTCTTGGCTGACCAAGAATGTGGTTGAATGTTCTTACCAGTGGAGCTCGGGAAGAGAGGACAGGGAGAGAAGAGAGAGGGCGGCTCCCTGGACAGACGTGAGGTTGGCCACTGAAGCAGGTGGCAGGGACGCCTCTGCTCACGGGGGGGAATCCCAGAGCTCTGGAGGCTTGTGCGAGGCATCAGAGCTGGGGGCACCAGCAGGGACAGGGACAGTGAGGTGTGGGCGGGCGGGGTCTCGGCCTTGGAGAGCCACTGTCCACCTTCTCTCCCAGACCAGTAGTCCAGTCTTCATACCTGGGGAAGGTGTGCCCTCTCCAAGGCCCCACAGCTGCCCCACAGGCCCAGGGCTCTCCCTCAGGGTGGGACCTCCCTATCTCTACAGAGAGTTCCATGCTGATTCCCTCCCGTCTTCCCCGTGGCCTTCAGTTCTGTGACATCCCGGTCCCTTCATCTAGATCCACCAGTTCCCCACCCAGAAGGGCTCCCCAAGCTTCTGCCACCAGCACCCTGTGCTCTTCCCTCTTCCTCTTAACTCACTCTTGCCTTTCAACCATCCTCTGAAGGTCCCCCCCATCACCCAGGTGCCTAACCTTGACCTGTCCAGAACTCTCCTAACTACTGCCTGGGGCTCTCACCATTTGCTCCCAGGTCAGACTGGAAAGGCCACCTGCCCCGACCTTGGCTGCAGGGAGCCCTGGGAAATTCCTGTGTGCTTATCTCCTCTAGGGGCATGCAGGTGCTCCCTCCCCCAACACTCAGAAGGGCCGCTCCCAGGGGCCACCCATTAGCATCAGGCCCGAGTCCTGCGACATTGCTCAACTCCCAGGCCCCTCAGGTCCAAATCCTGAGCACTTTCCTGGACTTGCCCCAGTTCAACCCTGACCCCACCAAAACCCATCGCTTCCTCCTTTATCAGCTCCACATCAGCTCGTGCACTCAGGTATTTATTGAGGGCCTACTGTGTGCTGAGTGCTGTGTGAAGGGGAAGGTAGACTACAAAGCTGCTCTGAGGAACTAGCCGTCTGTTGGGGACACAGGCCAGTTGTCCTGAAGACCCACCTAGTGCCGTGGAGGCGTGGAGGAGGGAGCCTCTGGCCACCTCTGGAGAGCTAGGGAAGGCTTCCCGAGGGTGCCACAGGGACACAGAGGCATGCAGCAGTTTGTCACCCCGAGGAGTCTGAGGAGGTGGGTGGTGGACAGTAGGCTGCACATGTGAAGGCTGGAGGGGAGGAAGGAGCCGGCGTGTTGGGGATTAGCCTGTCCCTGGAAGGCAGTCTGTGCCCGAGGGACGTCGACATGGGAGCAGAAGTTCCATTGTCAGGAGCCTTGTGTGCTACACCAGGGAGGCTAGGGTTAACCACGTGCTGGAGAAGCCAGCGGATAGCACCGGGCATCCTGGGCAGAGGGAGCGACTTTGGAGCAGGGAAGGGGACTCCCACATCTAGCTGCCCACTGAGCGCAGCACCCATCAGATACTTAACTCTTAGCTGGTTCCAGAGAAGTGAAAAAACCTACAAAAGGCCTTGGAGCCACCTGAGAAAGGGCTGTATCTTTCCTTCCCACTTTCAGAATTTCTCTCTCCTCCCTTTTTTTTTTTTTGATATCAGGGATTGAACTCAGGTGCCTTAGGCACTGAGCCACATCTGCAGCCATTTTTTTATATTTTATTTAGCGACAGGGTCTCACTGAGTTGCTCAGGGCCTCGATAAGTTGCTGAGGCTGGCGTTGAACTCGAGATCCTCCTGCCTCAGCCTCCTGAGCCTCTGAGGTTACAGGCATGGGCCACGGCACCCAGCTCCCTGCTCCTCCCCCGTCTTCCTTCTCTTTCTTTCTCTCACAGACAGACAGACAGACAGATAGACACACACACACAGGTGGTGGAGGGGGAGGACAGCTAGGCTTATGGGAGCTCTTTGGGGAGAAACGTGGAGAAACACTAAGTTGGGGATTTCCATCATCAGGAGCAGGTTCAGGTCAGGGCAGGAGGTGGGCCTGGAGAGGGCAGGGGTGCTGGCCCTGACCTTGTGCCTCTGCCTGACCTCTCTGACTTTATTTATCTATTTATTTACACAGGAGATTGAACCCAGGAGCGACATCCCCCAACCCTTTTTGTTTTTTATTTTGAGACAGGGTCTTGCTAAGCTGCCCAGGCTGGCCTCAAATTTACGATCCTCCTGCCTCAGCCTCCGGAGTCCCTGGGATTGCGGGCCTGCTCCACGCTCTCTTACTTAGAAGACAAAAGTGGCTCCAGAGGTCAAGAGCTGCAAGAACAGGAGGCTGAGCGCAGACGCACAGAAGGGAGACCCGTCCCGGGAACTTCCTGGAGGAAGTAAGGAGCCAGAAGAGGTGTCCAGGGCCAAGGCTGGGAGGGGACTCTCAAAGAGAAAGGGGACAGGAGATGAAGGGACAGCTGGGCAGAGACGAGGCTGCTGCTGGCCACAGGGTGGAATGTAGGAGGGTGCCAGCTGCCACCCAGCCCCAGTCCAACCTTTGCACAAAGACCTCTGTGTGAGTGGACATGGAAGTGGCCCTGTCAGGTGCAAAGGCTTAGTTCCCAGGGGCCACTCAGGGGCTGCTGTGGAATGGGGCTGGGGGAAGGGGGGCTGAGGGGTGGCCTCGGGCTTAAACCAGGTCTGAGCAGGAAGGGAGCAGCTGAGGCCCCGGGACCTCACCCCGAGGCTGTGGAGAGCCACTCCCCATTTCCCCCAGCTGCCCCTCCCAGTCCTGCCAGAGCTCCCCACCTCCAGCCTTCCTCCATGATGTGTAGGTGCCCTCTTGGGACACTTTTGGACCTGACCCCATCTAGCCTCCTACTCTTCCTGGCAGGGGGACATCAGGGTCCCCTTCCAGCCCCTCCCAGGGTGCTCCCTCCAGGGAGAGCTGTGCCGAGATGGTGGACAAACAGGAATTGACCAGAGCCTAACATGAGGCCCAAGGTCACTTCAGCTTCCAGTACGTTCTTGTCTTCCCCAGGGGAAGTCAGTCCTGCGCTGGCCCTGTCCCCGGGTCCCTTCCTGATAGTCCGCAGTGTGGAGAGACCTTCTCCCCAACTG